AGAAAAAGAAATAAAAGCCATCCAAATTAGAAAGAAAGAAGTAAAACAGTCACTATTTGCAGATGACATGGTACTATGTATAGAAAATCCTAAAGACTCTCCCAAAAAACTGTTAGAACTAATACATGAATTCAGTAAAGCTGCAAGATACAAAATCAATACACAGAAGTCTGTTGCATTTCTATGCAGTAATAATGAACTATCAGAATGAGAAATTAAGAAAACAAATCCCATTTACTATTGCATCAGCAAGAATAAAATACCTAGGAATACATTTAACCAAAGAGGTGAATGACCTATACATTGAAAAATATGTCATCAATGAAAGAAATTGAAGACACAAATGAATGGAAAGGTAGTCCATGCTCATAGATTGGAAGAATTAATATTGTTAAAATGTCCATACTACCCAAAGCAATCTATGGATTCATTGCAATCCTTGTCAAAGTTCCAATGAAATTTGTCACAGAAGTAGAACAAACCATTCTAAAATTTGTATGGAATCACAAAAGACCCCAAATAGCCAAAGAAATCTTGAGAAAGAAGAATGAAGTCGGATGCATCACCCTCCCTGATTTCAAACTATATTACAAAGCTATAGTAATTAGCACAGTATAGTATTGGCTTAAAAACAAACAGAGATCAATGGGGCTGGCCTGGTGGCATAGTGGTTAAGTTTGCATGTTCTGCTTTGGCTGCCCGGGGTTCCCCAGTTTGGATCCTGGACACGGACCTACTCACTGCCCATCAAGCTCTACTGAGGCAGTGTCCCACATAGCAGAGCTACAACTCTACAACTATGATACACAACTATGTACTGGGGCTTTGGGAGGAAAAAAAGAAAAAGAGGAAGATTGGCAACAGGTATTAGGGCAGAGCCAAAATTCCTCAAAAAAAAAAAAAAGATTTAAACAAAACAAGACCAAACAAAAACAGACAGAGATCAATGGAACAGAATAGAGAGCCGAGAAATAAACCCATGCATATGCAGTTAATTAATTTATGACGAAGAAGCCGAGAATATACAATGGGGAAAGAACAGTCTCTTCAATAAATGGTGTTAGGAAAACTGGACAGCCGTATGCAAAAGAATGAAACAGATCACCTTCTTACCCCAAACACAAAAACTAACTCAAAATGGATTAAAGAATTGAACGTGAGACCTGAAACCATAAAACTCCTAGAACAAAACATAGTCAGTAAAGCTCCTTGATGTGAGTCTTGGTGATGATTTTTTTGGATTTGACACCAAAAGCAAAAATAAACAAGTGGGACTACATCAAACTAAAAAGCTTCTGCACAGCAAAGGAAACCATCAACAAAATTAAAAGGCAACCTACTGAATAGGAGAAAATATTTCAAATCATATATATGATAAAGGGTAAATATCCAAAACGTATAAAGAACTCATACAACTCAATAATAAAAAAACAAACAATTCGATTAGAAAATGGGCAGAGGAATTGAATAGACATTTTTCCAAAGAAGACATACACATGGCCACCAGGTACATGAAAAGGTGCTCAACATCACTACTCATCAAGGAAATGTAAATCAAAGCCACAATGAGCTATCACCTCACACCTGTTTGAATGGCTATTTTAAAAGACAAGAAATAACAAGTGTCGGCAAGGATGTGGAGAAAAGAGAACATTTGTGCGCTGTTGGTGGGAATGTAAATTGGTGCAGCCACAATGGAGGTTCCTCAAAAAATTAAGAATAGAACTACTATATGATCTAGCAATTCCACTTCTGGGTATTTACCCTAAGAAAACAAAAACACTAACTCAAAAAGGTATCTGCACCCCCATGTTTATTGCAGAAATTTTTTTGGTGAGGAAGATTGTCCCTGAGCTAACATCTGTTGCCAATTTTTCTCTTTTTGCTTGAGAAAGATTGTCCCTGAGCTAACATCTGTGCCAATCTTGCTCTACTTTGTATATGGGTTGCCGCCACAGCATGGCTTGATGATCAGTGTGTAGGTCCGTGCCCAGGATCTGAACAGAGTGTGTCAACTTAACCTCTATGCCACCAGGTCGGCCCATTGGCATTATTTACAATAGCCAAGATATGGAAACAACCTAAGTGTCTATAGATAGATGAATGGGTAAGGAAGATCTATATCTATATCTATATCTATATCTATATCTATATCTATATCTATATCTATGTCTATGTCTATATATATATATACATTGGAATATTATTCAGTCAGAAAAAAGAATGAAATTTTGCCATTTGTAAAAACATGGATGGAAGGAACTTAAGGGCATTATGCTAAGTTAAATAAGTCAGACAGAGAAAGACAAATACCATATGATCTCACTTAGATTTGGAATCTAAAACAAAAACCCCAAAACAAGCTCGTAGATACAGAGAACAGAATGGTGGTTGCCAGAAGTGGGGGAAGGGGGTGAGAGGTGGGTGAAATGGGTGAAAGGAGTCAAAAGGTACAATTTTCGAGTTATAAAAAAAATGTCATGAGGATGTAATGTACAGCTTGGTGAGTATAATTAATAATATTGTATTTGAAAGTTGCTAAGAGAATGAATCTTAAAAGTTCTCATCACAAGAAAAAAAAACCCTGTAATAAAAGAACACTTCATCCCCAAGTTATTTCCCAATCTTTCTCTCCCACCCACTCTGAAACATGGAATTGCCTAGGGGATATTTCTTATTCAAATTTAGAATGAACTAAAATTCTTTTTGCTTTGAAACTTTAGTTAAGATCTCTTAAGGCAATTAGCTATCTGCAAAAGCACTGGAAATGATTGGTTTCTGGGTGAGTGGTGGTCTTTAAACATCATACTTAGATGAGAATCATCTGGCGATCTCTCTGACTTGCTTTCATTCATAATAAATCTCCTGAGTCATTTGTTGACATGACAAATACCTGAAAGGGCAGGCCCGAACAAGGAACCCAGGTGTTCTCCTCTCTCTTGTTATCGTTGATGGTGAGTTAGCTTTGTTTGTGGGTTATTAAGCAACCTCCAGGTTCTCTCACTGATTGCCATAGGGCTGTGCAGATGGCCTTCCGGACCCTGGGTCCCATGACTGAAACAAGCAGCCAAGTCCACATACATGACCATCAATCGCACCAAAAGAATGTTTGGCCTCCAGTATAGTGCTCCCATTCTACTTTTATTCTTGCCCCACTAATTTTGGCTTTTCTTCTTATGCAATGGCCTATTTCCTGAATATTGCTAGGTATTTGACAAATAGAATTTAATGTACCTCAATAAAATTGTTAGTTTAACATTTACAGAGAATACTTAACAGAGGTTATTTGTGCACTAATCATTAGCTAACAGAATTAAGTAGTCACGATCTAAGAATGTGATTATCAGATACAGACTTGTGCTCACTCTACTTCAACTTCTGAGTAATTTTCTAACGATTCTGTCAAAACAGCTTTCTTTCTAATCCTATAGCAGTTTGTGTGATTTGTAAAGTAGCAAAGGGTTAATTCAGAGTTCAGTTATGTTACTTCTTTTTGTTCATTTACTGTTTCTGGAGGAGCTGAGTCATTGTATCAGAGCCATTACTTAAACCATCAACATGAAATTTTCTTCAAACTGAACATTTTCTTCATTTTGACTAAGCTTTGTGCAGCTGGCTAAAAGTGAGTACAGGCTATGTACACTCACAGTCACATTGTTTTAAGGAGACCAGCAAGTATGGAAATTCTTGATTCTAGAGTCAAAATTTTCATTGCTGGACATCCTGACCGTGTGTACCGTTACAGGCCTATCAGGGTGCCAGCCACTCTGTGGTTCTGTTTTTATCCTTTGACTTTGATGGGGAAGGAGGCGGATTGAAATCAATGTAAATAGAGAGTCCGTGCTGGGTTTGGAGAAGGCGCCCACCACAACCTCCCCACACACATCCCATGGAGGACTCCATTACTCTGTAAGAGCACTGACAAGCATGCCCACAACCCGCTGGCCACCTGCTCCCCACAACCTGGGAGGAAGGAGGGTTGGAGCTGGGTGCAGGCCTCTGCACAGACAGCAGGATTTCATGCCCACTATTGTGACACGGGCATTTAGAACCATCTCTCTTTCTCTGGATCTCACATCATCAGCAGCAATGTAAAAACACTGGAGCTCCCAGCAACATGGGACCCAGCGTGTTCCATGATGTTATCTTAGGAACATTCTGAAAGCTGCCTTGATCCTAAGTATCTCCTTCAGCATTTTTGACAAAACAATTAAATGATTCCCTACGTTTACATGGCACTTCACAGTTGACAAAGCCCTTTCACTAGCGTCATCCCATCTAATCTCCATGAAGCTGTACTAGGTTGGTAGAGTAATCTTTTAAAACAAAGGGTGACATGGGCTCAGAGAGGATGAGTCACTTAATGAAGGTCACAAGTAAGTGGTAGATCACTTGCTCTAAGTCTAGAATCCTTCCCACATCAAACAAATCGCAGACATAGAAAGGAATAACACCTTTGGAGATACCTAAAACTCCTTAAAAGAATAGCCTTTCGTTATATATATATAAATATATATATTTAGAGATAAAGCTCAAAATGCAAATCTTCCCCTGAGAATGGGAAAGCATTAACAAATGGGTGTCATAGGCTTTCACATATTCAAAAATTAAACTAATTCCAGGGTGATAGACCTGATTTAAGACATGGTAGTTAATAGAAAAGGTCTAGATTGAAAATAATTTTTGAAAAAACGTACCTCTGTATGTGTATATGTATCTACTTAGAAAATATATTGCTTTCGATGTTTGTGCCATTTCTAGGTTACGTGCCGTGTCCATAGCTGCTTCATTCCCATCCCTACACTTCAAGCCACCATATTACTTTTTAATTACCTTAAGACTCATTTTCAGTTAATTGTAACAATTAACTAAGGTTGAGCAATAAAGCACTTTCATGAGTAAAAGTTACTCATGAAATTTTTTTTAGAAAAGTTACTCATGAGATTTTTTAAATATGGTTCCAGGAATAGTTTAGTTTTCACATTTAATATGACACGTAGCATGAAACGGCTTTTACTTAAAAGAACAATTATATATTTGCTGCCAACAGTATAAAAGCAGTAAAAACACTTCCCACCACCTTATAAAATTGTGTGACATTTTCCTAAGAATTCCCTGCATTTAGAAATTCTAGACCTTCTCCACTTATAAATCTGAGTGTATCTTTTCGCAGACTGTATTTTTTACTGTAGGGCTTTGGTGCATTTCGTGAAGAGGAAAATACAGACACTGGAAATACAGGTAGAAGTAGAAGACTTAAAGCACAATAGCCCATCACGTGTATGTTGGGGGCAAGTTTAATGTGGACCTCCTCCGCTAGGCTTCAATACTAAGGGTGGCAAAGACACAAAAAGTGCAAGAAGTCACATGACACACCTTCCCTCAGTGGGAAAGATGACATGATTCAACACGAGGAGAATGATTAAGAAGGAAAGTTTATTGGACTCAATTACCCAGCTGATGGTTCATCTAGCTCTCACTTGGATTTTAAACATTTGCTTGACAAATGATTTCACATCACTTTTTGTTTCTTGCAGAAAGCTCCCATGTGTAATTATCAATAGCATCTCTGAAGAACGGAATTATTCATGTTGTCTGGCTGATGTTCCAGGGGATGGAGGAGCCAGAAGACTGCTACAAGTGAAGACATTTGTATGGTCTCAAAATGTCAGGATGGTACGGAGACTGAAACAGGAGATAAAAGATGTTAATTGTTTGAACGTTTAGATAATTCACACTATGTGAGAGTCCACGAGCATTTACGTGTCTCAGTGAAAGGCTGTCTGTTTCCCGCCACTCCTTCCCATCCCTGTGCATTCAAGGTAAATCAAGTCAAAGGGTAGTTCATCTTGTCCTGGTTCTCGCTCGTGTTTTCCCTAACCTTAAGCTCAACCACAACATCGTGAAGGTGACTGCCACCTAGGCTCTTTAAATATTAGCACCCTCAAAAAATCATTTTTGAGCACCTACATGCCTGCCATAATAATGAATACAAAACAACAATGGGTAATGATATGTAATAAGTTCTTGCTATTTGTCACATACTCTGCAGAGGCTTTTCATGCATTATATCATTTAAACCTCAAACAACGATGCTATGAGGCAGGTTCTAATATGATTTCCATCTTAGAGGTTAAAAATACTGAGACTTAGAGAGATCTGTAACTTGCTTCAGGCCACACATCTAGTGTGGGACGCTGGGATTTAAACCCCAAGTTGTACAAATTACCAGATTGATAGGCAATTTGCCTGAAGGAACCGATAATGTAACAAAGTTAAGACCAGGTTGAAGGTTTAATAGAACTTTGATAAAGAAATGTTTAAGATTCTTAGAAGTAGATAATAAAGTTGATTTGTATTCAGAGAGACTTCATTCTTGGGAAGATCAGAAATATAACATTTACACTGGAACTAATGTCCTTTCTAAAAACCATCTTCTGATGGATAAATACTTTCAGAAAAAGATGGTCTTTGTGTCTTTAAAAAAATTATATATATTATGTATGTATATATTATATGTATGTACATATATATAATAAGAAAATATATGTAGATGATTTAGAAACTACAGGACAGTGTAAAGAAGAAAGTAAAAATAACCTGTAATCCTACAACCTAGAGATAGTCAGTGTTAATATTTTCCTGAATTTTGATCAACTTTTTTCTAGACATATGTAAATTTTTTAGTGCTCTTGTTGAAAACTTGGGATCATATTGTACATATAAGTTTGTATTCTCTATTCTGTAACTCAAAATTTCATCATGAGAATTTCCCATTTGTATGAAATCATTTCTTTTTCATGACTTCATGGATTTCTAGTACATGGCTGGAATTTATTTAACCATCCATCCCCTTATTGTTAGGCTTTTATGATGTTTCCAATTTTTGATACTATAGATGATACATGAACATTCTTAAACAGATGTGTGTTTGCATATCTGATTATTTCTGTAGAATAGATTCCCAGAACTGGAATTGCTGGGACAAAGGATCTAAGATTTTTTAAAGGTTTCTGATACAAATTACCAAATTGCTTTCCAGAAAGGAGGTAATCTGGGGCTCTTCGAATACTCATTTCTTTCCTTCCTCAATAATATTTATCAGACTAAGTGTTTAGTATAATATGTCGTGTGTGGTTGCTTGGTAAACGCTGTGCACAGTTGAGAACCTCATGAGAAGAAGTAAGAGGCAGCAGAACAAGCAGGGCCTGTGGAGCTAGAAGGCGGGAGCTAGATATAACTGCCCATTACTAGTTGTGCCTTAAATGTTAATGCAAGTGACAAAATTCTTCTTTTTAGGTGGTCGTAAAAGTTAAATTTAGAGGTAGGAAGTGGAATTGGCTTATCTTCCTAAGTTTGAAGAAAATGTAAGACAAACATTTAAAATAGCAATTTTTTTTTTTTTTGGTGAGGAAGATCGGCCCTGAGCTAACATCTGCCAATCCTCTTCTTTTTTTGCTGAGGAAGACTGGCCCTGGGCTAACTTCCATGCCCCTCTTCCTCCACTTTATATGGGACGCTGCCACAGCATGTCTCTCCAAGCAGTGCGTCGGTGCGCACCCGGGATCTGAACCAGTGAACCCTGGGCTGCCGCAGCGGAGTGCATGCACTTAACCACTTGCGCCACTGGACTGGCCCCTTAAAATAGCATTTTGTACTCTTCCTCTTTGCAATAATTTTTATTTGTGAAAAATTCTTTGTAAATGGAAAAAAGAATTAATAATGGTCAGTGGTTTTTTTACAAAAAACTTGTGATATCTGTATAGAAAACAAGCCCAATGTAGCTCCACTTACTCCCATAGCAAGTTTTTGGGATGTCCTGAATACAATTTAAATTTTTTTTTTTTTT